TACTATTAGTCAAATATGATATTTGCCCATATATTTGTCTATATGTTTGCCTACATGACAAATCCATTTTTTCGTCGAGTGTTATAAAGTTATAAAGTGAAATGAAATAAAAATTGTGCAACTAATCCAGTGTACTCTCTTATGATCATTTCCCAGCCGGCGGCAGACCTGCCTTGGCACTGACCATTACGTAAGCACTGGCAACTTCTTCTGCTTCTTGGCAAACTCCTGAACATTCAACTTATCTTCGTATATCGCTCTGTTATAAGACTGCTTTGTCTTGACTGGTTTATGCCTCTTGTGTTTGTAAGGGGGGATTATGTTCGTGTAGGAATAACTATAGGACCTCGATATCATATGCTGGTGTATGGTGTTTCTGAGCTCTCTTGTGAAGTCGTACTTTCGTGCAAGTTTGTCAGCTTTGGCCTCCTTCTCTTCCAAAGTACTTAACTCCGTTTCGCAAGAAAGCGAGGACCCAATACGATAAAGTTCAAGTTCTGGACTACTTGTGGATGTGTCTGAAGCTGTATGCACTTTATCTTTAGTCTCTCTTTCTTTTTCCCTTTTGGAATTATTTGAAAGTTTTACCCATGTTTCCATCTCTTCATTCTCTGGTGGAATGATCTCGTACGCGTTGCTATGGCAACTGCTGGTACTTGGCGCTGATAAAGAGGGCATGCTTTTTTCACGATATATTTCATGACGAAGCTGCTCTTCGTCTAATTTCAAATAATCCAATTTTGAAGTCAAGTCGATTAAACGACCATGCTGTTTGCCTGCTTTGATAGTTGTTGTCTTAATTTTCGTTTTAAAACTCTTTTGAATTTTTCCTCGACGGAGCTTTTCTTTTGTTGAAATTTTGTTCTCTAACTGTTTCACTTTGGAGTGAATTTCGCTAGTAGATCTTGCAAGTCGTTGCCTGTTTTCAAACGCTCTGTACTCGGCATTCCGTTTTCTCTCACTATCTTCTTTAATACTTGTTTCCGTTTTCTTCAACTCTTTCATCAATTTACTTTTTTCTGCTTTTAACTTTTGAAACTCTGACTTCCTCTTCTTCTTCTTTCTTTTTTCAGTTGCTGGTTGTCGCTCTGTGGAATTTTCAGTTTTCGGTTCTCTAAGAAGAGATGATAGATCCACTGTTTTTCTTTTAGGATTTACAGCCGGTGAAGTGTCTTCATGATTTTGTGTAGTTTCGCCATTAACGCCAGTAAATCTCACTTGTTTAACACTAGACATATCCGTTCTGTATATTGTTTAAAAGCAGCTCAATAAACAAACAAAATTGACTGTAAAAATCAGACATAAAGCTGGTTCAAACGACGAGAATTCTAAAACTGTAGTTACAACTAGCTATGCTCGTTTGGACTCGACTCAGCAGAGCGGGAGCTCGCAAATGTCGTAACAGTGGAAGAGTTGCTATAGTAATAAATTCATAAATTTATAACGAAGTTTCTAAGTTCTTCTTTAGCTTATGCTCTTTAATTAACGAGGAGCCAAATAGTTCAAACCAATTTTGCCAAATTGAGCAGGAATTATAATCTTCAAGCTCGACTACCTCATTGAATAATATGCTTTTATTTCGATTCATGGCAAAAAAAGAAAAAAAAAATTGATCAAAATTATAATTAAAATTCAAAAGAACTTTAAGGGATCAATTTTTCATGCAAGTCATTTTTACATAGGGAAGCTATTTAGTTTTCCATGTTCAAGCAGGTGTTAGCTCTATTATCATATTCATTCAACACTACGTACACGCGTACGTCAGTAAACAGTACTATAAGTGTCCTATTATACAGTCCAGTAAGTATTACACCTGTTATACCTACCCCTTCACTGCTAAAAACTCTTCATGTTAAATCAATGAATCCCAAGCAGAAGTACAGTGATTGGTGTGTTTGTCAAATTTAAAATATCAAGTTCAAGTTTATTTTATTACACGTAAATGCAATGGTCACAGATAAGAAATAAATAATATCAAATAGAGATGATATAGAGGATATTACATGGGCGCGCGGAGATACGAATTTTATCTTCGAGTGTTCAATTGATATAGTCTCACGAGTGAGCGCAGCGAACGAGTGAGATATCTAAATTGAACACGAGAAGATAAAATTCTTATCTCCAAGCAGCCACGTAATGTTCTGTTTATTATAGATATATCGATGAAACTTAAATAAAACAAAAGCTCAAAAATTCTTTATTAAAATATGTTACTATGTCAACAGCGATATCTTCACGTGCGAAAGATATAGTATCTTCCACTGGTGAAAGATATCAAGTTTTCGACACTAGAGAAAACCTGGTATTTCATCGATATCTATATAATAATTATAAATAATTCCTTTTATTCATTGAAGCCCCTTAGATTGATGAGCATAGCTGTTTCAGTATATACCAAGAAGATAATACCAAACATTTAAGACTATACCTTAAAGAAACAGTGGATTAATTACACCTGTTTTGCTTGAAATCATAACGGATTCCTAGTTGTTATTTGTTTTTTTTTCTTTTTTTCTTTTTTTTTGTGAAAACCTTTGTACAACTCTTATCACCAGCTAGTGTATATATCACTTTTAATGGCGAACGAAATATCCCGCGCGAGATAAAACGTTAAAGCGCTAAGACTTCCACTTCTAGCATTAGGAATAAGCAGTTTGGGCACAGGATATAGAAAAAAAACGTACATAAAACCTTTTTTAAAAGCCAAAAAAAAAAAAAAAAAAAGGAAAAAAAAAAGCTAGTTTAAAATTATTATCGTAGTAGCGCTTCAATATTGAATACGTTTTTCGTTTTTCAATTTTAGAAATTTGTAGAAAACAAATTGGTCAATATATATGATTGCCTGATATTTTCTAGAAATATGTTAGTGCAAGCTTAGAGATGAAATCCCCCCTAGGGCTGCAACGGGTTGTGTTTTCAGCACCTTTGCCGGTATTCCTCAAAAGTGCACTTAAACCTGGCTAAATCTGTCCACTGCCTTAGGGCAAGGATACACCATCAATATGGTAATAGTGAAAGCCCTGGCTTTAATATTGACTTAATTAATGCCGTGGAAAAAAACTGTTTTGTCTGGAAAAGTGAAATTATAGTGCTTTTAGTCATCAAAACTTTTATGGCAAATTCGATTTTTCCTCTTATTTTCTTTGTTTATTTTTTCTTTCTCTTTCTGTTTTGTTTCCTCTTTTCCTTTTATTCTTCCTTCCTTCCTTCCTTCCTTCCTTCCTTCCTTCCTTCCTTCCTT